GAGAGAGAGAGAGAGAGAGAGAGAGAGAGAGAGAGAGAGATGTGTGTGATATGAGCCGTGTGTATGTGTATGTGGGATGTGGGGAGAGTGTATGTGTGCATGTGCTGTGTCTTGGTGCACTCAGTCTTGTACATGGAGGCCAAAGATCAACATCAGGTATTGTCCCCTGTCTCTCTCACCTTACATTTTGACACAGGGTCTCTCTTTGAACCTGACTAAGTGGCCAGTGAAGCTCCTCACGTGTCTCTCTTTCTGTACTGAAGACCTGAACTCAGGTTCTCAGCACAATAATTGCTTTACCCCCTGAGCCATATTCCCGGTCCTAAGAACCACCACTTTTTTTTTCTTCTGACAGGGCCTTCAGGCTATATTCTAATCCCTGTACTGTGTCTGTTAAGAGACAAACTAACTTCCAAGCGCCAGCCCACTCCTAGAAGGCCATTCAGCTTCCCTGAGCCCCAGTGTCCTCATCTGAAGTGGCAGCAATCACTCCCTATGGTGCTGAGAGGATTAAATGGGACAGCAGAACTGCGCACAGTAAAGCTTAAGAAGTCGTCATCCCCTCCCTTCTCAGAGACATTGAAGGCCCATATTGATGCAAGAACATTGTCATCTGGGGAAGGGACTGAGGGAAAGGAGGGCGGACATAAGCACTCATTAACTCACCACAGTAGCATCTAACTGAACTGACCACAAGAATTCAGAGTCCTCAAAAATAACTTCCGTGGGGGACACGAGAACCCCAGAGATATGGAGTAAAGCTCTGGGAAATGGATGCTGCAGAGGGGGGCAAACCACAAGCAAGCTACCCGGGGTTCACCGGAGACACCCTTCCCTGTGCCCCAGCTTCTTCCAAGGCCACAGCTCCTCCTCAAAGTGACCTTCATCTCATCCTACGCCTCCATCGTAACCAGCAACTCTGAGGTCTTGGTTTGGGCTCCTCTGAAAGCAAACCATGGGAGGGACAAGATGTGAAGGCATGGAGGATAATAGAGAGACGTGATTGGAGGAATCGAGGATTGAAGGGCAGCAGGCAGGCAGAGGGAGACAAGGAATGAGAGAAAGCTAACCACGTATGACTAATGAGCGGGCTTCCTCTGTGGATGTCAGCTGAGTAATGGCCTTCCAGATGTGTTCACACCCTTAATCCCTGGAGCCTGGAAATTGGAAATTGCACAACAAGGCTAGTTTGCAGCTGCGGTTAGCAAAGGACTTGAAATGCAAGGGCCAGGCCTTGACGGAAGGCAATTGGATGAGGGATGCGGGAATAGGAGGGATGCAGATTGAAGGGGGAGGAGAGGGTAGTGAGCCAGGGAATGCAGGTAGCCCCTGAAACTAGGGACTAAAGTTTCCCCTCCCACCGCTAGACAGAGCTCACATCTGCCTTGAGCCCTGGGTAACTGGTTTTGGATCTCCAGGCTCCAGAGGTGGGGGGAAGTGAAGAGTGTATTGTTACCAAGCGGCTAAGCTAGCAACAACTGTCACAGCAGCTACAAGGAAACTGTTTCAAACTATCATCTTCATCCTTTCCGTCAGCTCTGCCTGCTTTCCCTGTGTCCTGAGGACCCCCGGCCCCAGCGGTGCCTTCTCCAGTGCACGCTCTTGAAGAACTAAGCCACCTGCTTCCAGATTCTCACCTGAGAATGGCTCCCCATCACTGAGGAAAGTCTGACCTATGATCAGATCAGCCTACGGGTCTGGGCCAAGCCCACCCCTCTCCCTTCATCCCCTTCCACTTTAGAGTTTCAAAGGCCAGGTTTATAAACCCACCTCAGGGTTGAACACACCCACACTCTTGTTTCTGAAAAGTCACACCCTTCCCCAGCCTTTTATCCTAACAAACTCCTACATATACAGCAAAACCCAACTGCAGCTACAGCCCTCTTTTCCTCAAGTTGAGTCAGCCTGCCGCATCCTCACATAACCTCCATTCTTCTATCAGATTCCCATTATTGCCCCTACTGAGCTCTGAGCTCCCTGGCAACCACTACAAATCTTGTTTGCTTCTGAGCACGTAGGATCTAGAAGGTATTCTGTGCACATGTGATAGCATCTAGGATCTAGAAGGTACTCCGTGCATATGTGATAAGCACCTAGGATCTAGAAGGTACTCCGTGCATATGTGATAAGCACCTAGGATCTAGAAGGTACTCTGTGCACATATGATAGCATCTAGGATCTAGAAGGTACTCCGTGCATATGTGATGAGCACCTAGGATCTAGAAGGTACTCCGTGCATGCTGTGTGGAGTTCCCAGGTTCTAGAAAGCACTTTATGCATATCTGTTGAATGAAAGGTAATAAATTTCTTTCAGCTCCAGCATTTTATGGTGGTGCGCTACCGTGAAGGGTCATCTCTGAATCAGCTTCTCTCTACTAATTAACAGAAAGACAACCTTTTTTTCCCATTGTGAGTTCCTACTAACCCACTCAAGATAAATACAAATTAATGGGCACTCATTTGTCATGTGGACTTGATAATCCAAAATTACATTTGTCTTGGCCCAGAGTGTGAACACAGCTCACAATATTTGCAGTTTGTGGAGAATATAGGCCACAGAATCTGTGTCATTTTGATGCTTGCACAAGCACAAACAGACACACACACACACACACACACACACACACACACACACCTAGTCCAGCTCTGCAAAATGACGGAAGAAAAACAGAACAAAAGTATGAACTTCAAGAAGCTCCAAAGAAGGTTCTGCCCAGCCTGGGATATAGCTTGTCAATGCTGCCCAAGGACATAGGAAATTGTCGTTAGAGGAACACAAGTTTGTGTATTCCTCCATTCCTTGATACTAAGCCTCAAGGCTCCTTTCTTGCCAAACAAGTCAGCGCCACACACAAGACACCATGGGAATCAGGATTTTGAGTCAAAAGGAAATCCCTTCATCCCTTCTACCTGATACCCCCAGACCCCAACTGTCACCCCCGTTCAGCATGCCTAGTTTTTATCATGTACAGAGAAGTTCAGTGTGACATTGGGACAAAGAACTTGGAAGCCACAGACTGGCAGCCCTCCACTGAGTGTTGGATTCATTCTTAAGCAGGAGCTGAGATTTCAAAGGACGAGAAGAGCATGGTGGGTCAGGTCATAGCTGCCTTGAGTGGCGACCAACAATTGAGGTACCTCAGACAACTCGACAGTAGCTAGAGAGGAAAGACGCATTCCCTGAGAATCTGTTTCACAGGAGTTGGCAAGCTTGCAAGATACAGTAGGAGTTGAGAGAGCCAGTGGCGGCCATGCCACGATCCCTACTGGAGTATTCTTTCTCAGTGCCTTCTCTGGGAACAGAAGCTCCCAATTCCCTTTTCTCCTTACGGCCCCAGGCTAGACCTTGCCAATTGGCACTCCTGCACTCTTTGGAAAGAGAAAGAACGGAATCTGGTCAAGTAGACCCATGGACAGATGTGAGCCCAGCAGCTGCTGCCCAGTGAGCGTCTGTACACAGTTCCAGGCTGAGTCAGCCTGAGCACCCTGGAGGCAACTCCCGGAGATCTCTTGACGGACATTTGTTCTGGGTCCTGCCACAGTGGCTGCACTCTGCCAGCATCTGTATCCGCCTCTACTCATGGGAAACAACACTACTCACGAGTGGAGTGCAGTCATACGAATGGAGTGAATCTGTATGTAAAGCCGCCCAGGATGCTGGTGACCAGGCAGCTCTGGGAGGCCACAGAATTTAAGACAGAACCAAGGAGGAGTAGCAGAGTGTAGTACTGCTACGTCTAAAAAGGCATGAGTGACGCTAACGTCACCTGCGATGCTGGCGAGTCTTTGAAGGAACACTGGGTCTCAAGGTCAAAGGGTGGATGCCTCCAGGTTAGCACTCACATCCACAGGAGGAGAGGCGATGAGGGAACCTAGCAGCCTGGCTCTCAGGCTCTCATCAGACAGCAACCTTTATGAGAAAGGATGAAGCTGAGCAAAGAGGCCTAAGTGTGTGCTCCACTCCCGAAGAGTCACTAGACCATTGCCGTGCACTCAAAGTGTGTGCTCCATCCAGTCCTTTGCAAGATGCCGTGGGGGTCTGATAATGGAAAAACCACAACAATTCAGCCTCTTGGGGCAGAGAGACATGTTATTCATACCCTGCCCGACTCTTACACTGTGATTATTTTTAAGGCTTAGAGTGTGTGTGTGTGTGTGTGTACACATGTGCACACACATGTGTATTTGTATGTCAGTGGTCAGAAAAGGGCATTAGATTCTCTGGAACTGGAATTACAGGCAGATGTGAGTCCCCCAATGTAGGTGCTCCGAACTGAACTCAAATCCTTTGGAAGAGAACTATCCACTCTCAACTGTTGAGCCATCTCTCCAACTGTGGAGCTCTTAGCCAGAGACACTCACGTAGTCCTCATGTCCAGTGGCAAAGGTAGCCATAAGTCACAGATTTCTTCAGCCTTACGGTCTTCGTTGGACCTGCTCCATTGAGTGTTCCTTTCACAGGCCTCTTTAGAAGTGTTGGAGGACATGTTCTGAGGTAGTTCTGACCAGCTGGTACAAAGGGGCATGCACGCAGCCTTAGCAC